GAATGTTTACGTGATCAAAATTCACCATCGTTTGTTTGTCTGTTATCACTCGACCACCGCTTGTCTGCGATGAGTTTATCAATTATACACTTTACATCTATTTCTCCAGAAGAGAGAATCTTCAACCGAAATACAGACATATTACAACTTGCACCGGCCGGGTCCTATTGTTATATTGTGCCCTCTTGCGTTCTTCTTCCAATTGCTCAATCCAATTGGAACATCCACTCTTCCGAGAAGAATCAGATGGACCCACGTGGTTGGGTACCAACTGTCGCTCTCTTGTCATTTAAAAAATTGAATGTTGAATGATTTCCGATAATACACATTTCTCAGCTGGAAATTATATGTTTTATTGAACCGGATTGCACTTGCTTCTCAGAACGTCTCTAGAGATAATGCCTGTTTACGCCCATATCTGAATGTTATCTTGTTCTTGACATTTCAAGTTTCCATTCTGTAGTTTGCTGGCAGGATAAATTCTATTTGAATATACATCAGATTAAGAGACCAAAACAGTTAGGAGAGACCAAAACAGTTAGAAAGAGACCAAAACAGTTAGGCAAACTGAGACGGCATAGAATATGAGTCAAGGGAAAGAGAAATCGAGGAAAGAGGATACCGAACGAGTCAAGAACAGTTCCATTGAACAGAATTGTAAACCAGTTGTCGAACAGTACATACATTTCGCGATTTCATGTAGTGCGATTTGGTGGAATGGATTTGAAAAAACACCCAAAAAACCCAAGTGGTCCTTCATTTTACAGGACCAACAGAAAGGTAGTTAAAAATTTAAATTTGAAAATTGAAAATTTCAAATATCCTAGAAATCTCAAGCTTCATACCACTGAGCCTCTATGTGGCGAAAGGGATCAACAGACAAAAGTCTTGCTAATCAGTACACTTTGTTTAAGAAAATCATGGCGTTATAGCATAAAGTATTTAAAATCGTATTTTTGTTTTTCTATCTCGATTTTTTCAATTTTGTAAATCAAAAAAATATATACTTCCACACGGTCTCCCAGAGTGAAAATTTTTGGAAAAGTTCTCTCGTTGGTTGCACTCTAGCCAAATTTTAATTCTTCACGCGCCTCCCCTTTTCTCTCTAGGGTTTCCATTTGGGTGCGATTCACCCGACCGCACCCACCCGGGGCCTCCCTTTTTATTAAAATTCACACGCATTTAATTGCGAAGGGCCGCGGGGGGCCGCGGGTGGGAGCCGCCCGGGTGGGTAGCGGGTAGCCCGCTTCTTCACCCGCCCAAATGGAAACCCTACTAATAGAAACTTATCACTAGTGTCATGGAAATCACAGAAAAGTACGAACTTGAGCTATTTTTCAGAAGAAAAATTATTTGCTGTGTTACTGAAGACGTCAGCTATCAGCTGCACAAAATTTTTTTTGAAAATTGGAGCATTTTGAGCATATGAGTCAGTGAACACCGAGTTGATAAAAACCGGTTTCATTCAACCGTGCATAAGTCTATCAGGTTTTTACGAAATCAAAAAAAAATAAAAACGTCATCAATACCGCAGAGACATTTGCTACAATTCCTTCGTCTTCGATTTTTTACTTAGGTCCTCATTTTATTGAAAATCTTGAAAAAGTGTCAAAAATCGGGGGTTTTTGGGAATTTTGTACTGAAATTTGTACCCTTCACAACTCTGCGAGTATCCAACCGATCATAATGATCAATAAACCAAAAGTTTTGTAATAGGTTTGTAACTTAATTTGCTCATAGAACAAGAAGAGTTGCTTAAAAACTCGGAAAATCCGAAAAAGTTATTCAAAGCTTCATATGTTGCTTGATAGTTTGAGACAAGTGTTGAAACTTCTTACAGACAATCTCGGGTGTGATTTATATCACCCATAAAAAATTTTCTAAAAATATCCATCTTTGAACGTTTTTGAGACGTTCTTAGCTGTTCATCCAGGTTTCCGATTAAATCTGTGGAAAAAAAAGTAGTGGCAAACTGACGAAATCTTTATCGTAATATCAGTAACATTATGTCAGTTAACCACTTTTTGATATATTTTACAGGAACCGAGATATATAGGCTCAAAGTTTTGTACTGAGAAAAAATAGCGTGAGAGATGAAGAGACGCAGAGACATTTTTTCTCTAGTTTTCAAATCAAAAATTTTCACGCTGGGAGAACGTGCTTCCATCACTTTAACTCAATCATCTCGGTTACTGTAAGAGAAATTAAAATGTGGGCTCTTCTATTACAGGTTTTACAGTATCCCTTGAATGTGGTTCCCTTTTTTTTAGTCGTTTGCACAATTGATGCTCATTTTCAGAAACTACTACTGCCCTAAAAGGTCCTCTTTACTGCAAAAGGGCATCGTAATTATCTGTCTACCCGCCCGCTATGATAATCAAGATTCTTAAGAAATCTGGCTATCTGATCTCCCGAGAAACCAAGAATAAATCAAAAAACAAACATTTATTTGATGTTTCTGAATGCGAATACTGTACTCCTATGGAATGACCACACTATGTACCTTTTAACTTCGAGCTAATTTATCTCGGGACCTGTGATAGATATCGAAAAGTAGTGGCAAACTGACGAAATCTTTATCGTAATATCAGTAACATTATGTCAGTTAACCACCGTTTGATATATTTTACAGGAACCGAGATATATAGGCTCAAAGTTTTGAAGATCCCTTTTCAACTTTCTCATTTGAATTTTTTCAGTGTTTTCAGATATCACTGAAATTTACGTTATCATGTTTTGTGTTTCAGATTTTTAGGACTTCAGTTAATTGAAGACACCAAACATAACAAAAAAGGTTTCAATAAAAAACTAAAGTGCCCTTTAGTATAAAAACAGAAATCAACAATCTCGCGTTTCATGTGTTTCACAAAAGGTTTCCATTTGCTGTGTGATGATCATGACGTTTTTTTGTGATCAGCAGCTCAAAATAGTGCAAATATACTTCTCAAACATGGCAATTATATGAATTTACTTGGAAGAAATATATTACAAGAATCCTTCACGAGACGACTAGAAGTTGAAAAACGTCAGCATCGCCAGAAGGATTCAGAACTTTGCTGTTGTTTTGGACCATTTTGACTGTGATGTGGCGAAATAGTTAACTGCAGGGAGCAATCAGTGATGACGTTGTTAAGCATTTCAAAAAAATTGATCATCTGTTGATCTGGAAAAGAATTTACCATAAAACATGTAATCGAAGGGCTCCAAACTTTTAACTTTGAGCCAATTTTTCTCGGTTCCGGTCAAAGATATAAAAAAGTGTCAACTTGTTTATCATAATACATATCAGAAAATTTTTGTCAGTTGACTTTTTGATATCTAGCATAAGAATAGAGATAATTGAGCTCAAACTTGAAAGTGTGGGGGGTCCTTCTACTACAGGTTTCGCGGTACCTCCCACACCGTTTCTGAACCGAATAGCTGAAAATCTGCAGAGCAATGTATACAAATTCGGAGAATCAGAAATCTGAATATAGGTTCTAGTCTTTTTTTTAGGAATTACAGCCTTGAAATTTCTTAAATCTTCATTTTTCTAGTCTTGCATTCTTAGATGTCTCTCCATGTTCAGTGTCTCATGACCCTTGAAGTTCGGAATTCTGATCTGGCCCCTTCTCTCGAACAAAAAAAAACACAACATTCTTGCACTTTTCGTCTTCCCCTTTTTTTCGAATTCTCGAATTGGTCTGACGAGATTGATGCCCGCCGGACCGTGAGCTCTTCAATCGAATTTTAAATTGTGTTTTTTGCAAAAAAAAAAAGGTTTTTGCTTTGCAGCAAGCCGAAACGTTAAATATGAATTATTTTCAAATCAGAAAAAGAACAAAAAAGAAGAAGAAGATTAGTTAGACAGGGATTAGCAGATTTAGATATTTTGCAAAAATTTCGAAACTTTTTTCTGACTGCTGCGGGTGGATTCTTGAAAAATATTAAAATGTATTTATTGGAAATATGATTTGAAACCTTTGACATCTGATGATTAGGACTAGCGTCAAGGATCAACTATAGGATCAACTACATCCTGCTCTGTCGATAACTTTTTCTGTTGTTGTGTTGAGATTCACCTACAAAATTTCTGACGATGTCGTGTAAATTTGTCTGTGATTAATACATACGTCGTCTGTGACACACAACGTATCAACAATAACAAGTTACCCCAGGTAGAAACCACAATTTGGAACTGAAGCAGAATAACAATTAAAAGAGCGTAGACATGAAAAAAGAATTTTCTCGAGATTCCATTCATACAAGACCCTTTAGGAGCTGAACTTGTGGACCCAACACTGGAGGTACCGCGCAAATACCGACTGACCTACGGTGGCGTAGGCTTACACCGCCTGACGGGGTAGAAGCGGCACGATAGCAATGCGATATGTGAACACCAAACACTGTACACGTTACTGCAGAATGCACACCATAGCTAGAAAAACTCCTGAAGATCTCATGTCCCCCTCCTTTAATTATTTGGAAGATAATGAAAAATTCTTGTAGAAAAAAGAGAAAGATGCACTACCAATCCTTCACAGTAATGGAAATGTTCTGAAAAAAACAGTAGGAACATGTACTGTCAATCCTTTGCAGAATAGCTTTAGTGTGAAACAGGAATTCTTCTCGGGTTCCCATTTTCTGACTTATAAGACATTCGCTCATTCCATTTGTACTGGATACAATTCAAAAAGCTACAGTACCACCTCCAATGCAAAGAAATTCAAATGCACACTTTTGACCTCTTTCCCTATTCTCCATCTGTTTCAGTTCAATTCCCTGCTACCCACCTGTCCCACGTACCAGCCGTTGCGCAATACCTCCATACAGTGTGTCCATGTGCTACGTCTCCTCTTGCGCAACATCTTCCACCCGATTGCCACGTACCTCTAATCCCCAATGGGACGGGAAGAATGGGAAGGACACCTTGGACCACGCCTTCTTTTGTTTGAAAGCTACTATAAAAATGGATGAATACGCAAAAGGACTACGCAAAAGAACTTACTTTTCCTAAAGAAATGAACGCCCAGGTTCTCGTTCTTCTTCTAATTCTTGACATCGGTGCTGCCGCCACCAACTTTGACTATTTGAATGATCACCTGGAAATCAACGAGTTGAAGAACAACCAAGTCGAGCATCCAGAATTAAAGCATCTCACTTCTACTCGTGCATCCCGATTCCAAGAGAACAAGATACGGTTCTGTGGAAGACGTCTCGCTTTGTTCATCTTTGCCACTTGTGGAGAATGTCAGACAGGTAAGCTTTGATATTTTTCGCACCGTTGTTTTTCAGAATATCTTGTAAATGCGCTCGGGCGCTAAAGATGTTTTCGTTCTTCCAACAAAACCTTAAATTTCAGACAGTGGGACAGATCTATCAGTTCTCTGCTGTGCCCAGCCATGCAACATAAAAACGATCATCGACGCATGCTGTCCTGATACTCACTTCAAATGATCCATAATATTCTATGCCAAAAACGATGTTCAATCTTTATAATTACGGTTTTCAGGACAATATTAATGTATTATTTTTCTCGGTAAATATTTTTCCATCACGTTTTTTTCTCTAATTTGGCTTAAAACTCTTCAATTGTATCTTGTGCTATCAATGTTTTGTTTGATGCCAATAAACTATTATTCTGTGTGTATTCTGGTAGAGAAATGTGCAGGGATGTTTGGAACCGAATTTGGAATTCCAACTGGAATTTTTCGGAAGCAACTTTTCGGAGTTAAAAATTTTCTGAGTACTGTATATCAAACGCAGGCGAACAGTTTGATTGCAGGTCTCAAGAGGTTTTTTCAATTTTGCAATGAGAAAGTGGCGTTTTTATTATATGAATTGAATGTTGAAAAGATCCGAAGATTCTGAAATACCGAAATTTGGAAACTCCGAATTTTCGACATTCCGAAAATCCCTGGAAATGAGCATCCAGTAGCGCTTTTCTAGGTATTACAGACTATTTTCTGATAGGTTACAATATGTTCCTCGTTCTCTATGTCTATGTCTAGTTTCTATATCTAGTTCTATAGTTCTATGTCTAGTTTGAGCTTGACGTTTTCTGATTCTGGCTTTCTTTGAACCACGTTGGTGGGCTGAAACTGGTACTTCTGTTCTCTGTTTTATCCCAAAATTCACTGAGTTCGTGTTATGTTTATGTGCCATTTACAATTGTCGTTCTTCCTCGAAATTCTTCAAAAACAATTCTTGTCTTTAAAAACAATAATCCAGATAGACGAAACGGAGGTGTGAGGTTGAATTCAACAAGAAAGAAGCCTATAATTAGAGCAGCCGGAGAGATTCTTGGTGATTCAATTGTTCATGTGCTTCAAATTGTCACAACGTTAGTCATCTGAAGATGTCACGGGCTCCTTTTCTGACTCTCTTACGGAGCACTGATAAACAAATTTTTGGATTGTCAAATTACTTTCTCTCACTTTTGGTGCTATATTTGAATCGTGTGCATCTGCGCGCACGTCATCTAGAATCATCTGGAGTATTGAGCTACCTAGGCTATCAAACGAAAAATTTTAAGTGGCAGTTTTGTCAAGACGTCTTCCCAGAAGCAGTATCGTCAACAACAGCGATGTTTCAGATGCTACGTCATTTTTATTGTATACACAAATAATTGGAATGTACAGGATGGAAAGTTGAGTATCGAATAGTAAAGAAAAGCCGGGAAAAAAGTCTGGTAAATTTCGGGAAGGGGTTGGAAGAAAGAAAATTAAATGATTAACTCGTGGAGAGAAGACAAGCAATTAGTTGGCGGGGATGAATTGATCTAGAGAACAGTTCCCTATCCGAAGATCCACGATCCACTTAGCGTCCTGGGCAACACAGCCCGATGATCTCCTCCATTGTGCACATTGTCTCGCAACATGAAGTAGCGATATTCACGTCTTCTTCTGGAATATTTGGAATTCAGAAGTTCAAGAATTAGATTCTGGATATATTCTCTTATAAAAACTCACTTGTGCATTGCCCTCCACAAGCCATCGTCACCATCTTCCACACCTTTCCTCCGCACATCTTCATCTTGTCTCCACGTCGTGAACGAGACATCATATTTTTCGGAAATTTGTGGAAGCCAAGATCCACAAAGTCTTCTGGATCTTCATAGTCGTCCACTGGAAGGCGACTCTCGAAGTCGTGCATCCAATTTCTCATAAGGCTTGATGCTCCGAGTTGGAAAAGAACCAGAAGGACGAGAAGAGGAAGGAGTTTCATTGTTAAGGAAATAAAACTTTGAAGAAGAGAGTCAAATCTTTTTGATTTTATATTGGACTCGTCGAGCTGAAAGAGGGGAGGAGTTAGTTTTTGATTATGTGATAAATAATGGGGCGGAGTCAACAATTTCTCATAGTAGGCAAGAAGCAGAACAAGGAAAAGAAGAAGGTATCTCGTGTTTCTCAGGTGACTACCGTAGTTGATGCATTAGCATGTTGACGAGATTAAGAACAAAATTGTTTTCAGAGAAAAGCTGCGATTTCGAAAATTCCAAGAAGAAGTGCAAAACATAATTATATATGATTCTGACGAGACATTTTGCAAAGTTCGTTAGATCTGTTGTCAACAATGTTTCTTGAATAATATTTAACAGCAATTCGGATGTGTTTTCAACAAATGACCAAAACTGGGAATGTAGATAGTTCTTCAAGTTATCATCTTACTATTAAAAATGTTAAAGGTGGGCGAACATGAGCAAAGAATGACTGTCTCAAAATTTTGTTCATATAAGCCTCTCGAGGAGTTGAACTTGTGGGACGAATATTGGAGGTGCCGCGCCGTAACCAGTTGATCTACGGTGGCACAAACTGAGGCTATTGGTTTTTTAAAAGCGTCACGATAACGACACGTCGTGTGAACACGAAGCATCATACACCGTCACGTCAGAATGCATACCCTAACTCTAAAAAAAAATTCAGCAAAATCTTCTGTCCCTAGCTTATTTGTGTTGCGTTTGAAAATTCCCCGAATGTTGGAAAGCAGATAGTTTTTCGAATTTTCGTATGAGAAGAGTTAAGAAGGGGACGATGATGTGGAAACATAGATAGCTGATTCGAGGACCCGGCAAAATATCCGATTCTATGAACGAATGAACATTTATAGGTCATCTCAGGTCTTACCATCTAGAGTATCTTAACTCGTTTTTTACGGAATTTTTGACAAGCGTTTCCTCTTCCTGTTTTCAAAATAGGGAAGATTTCAAAATATTGAAATCTTTTGCATTTTTGGCTCTCGTTGAGATAAGCCGATATTTAGAAAACCCATGTTTTTAGCGTTACCTAAACATCAGACATGAAAAAATGAATGAAATAAAAAACAATTAGACAGGATGAGCTAGATGGTGTGAGAAAAACATAATAAACTGACAAAGAAGCGAAGAAGAGGTAAAAATCCTTAATTTGTGTTTTTGTGTGTGCGTAGAAAGTGATTGTTTATCACTGAGAGCAGCTACATATCAAACAGCCAAAATATTCTGATGTTGTACACCATACAAATCAGGAGACAAATAAGGATATGGGAACTATAAAATTTTGAACTTGATAGACGTCGAGAAACATCTGATTTCATTGGGAATGTTATTGACATGAGTCCTCACGATTGAGGAAGTGGAACTGATAAATAAAGTAGGCTAAAATAAGGAAAATATCAAAGTTATTTTTCTAGATACGGTAATTTAAAATTCAATCGTCGCATCAATTTCAAAAATTCTCAAAAAGCTAACGGAAAACCTGAACTTCTTTTTCTCTTATCAGCAGAAAATGATCAGTAAATCAAGAAGCTCGTTATCATGAAGATAGCAACACAGTGGTATGAAAACATGAAGCCTATAGGCTAGGCTATAGCTTAATTGTTTGATACCAAGAACTTTAGAATATCGTAAAACCTGTAATAGAATGGCCTCCTAACTTTCGACTTCAAGTTAATTTATCTCGGTTCCTGTAAAAGATAAAAAAGTTGTCAACTGATAAATTGTTTATGTCACAAAAATTTTATCAGTAGACATTTTTTTTGATATCTTGCATAGGAACCGAGCAAAATGGGATCAAAGTCGATGATTTGGGTACCACTCTATTAGAGTGTTTAATTTACAAAGAAACTGGAAACCAACCAACAAAATCAAAACTATTGGATTTCTTTTTAAAAAAACATTCCAAAAATTTCACACTTTCAGAGAACAGCATTTGCAAAAATAATGTCTGCTTTTTCTCAGCTCCCTCTCTCTTTTGAGAGTGGTGTCACCTGAGCTTTAATCTTCAAGAAGTACTTCTGTAAAAGAATCAAGAAAAAGCAAAACTCTCTCAAGGTCACGAATTCTCGCGAGAAGTGACTTTTTTGCTAATTATAAATTCAAAAAATGTTTCTGAAAATATGCCACAAAATTCGAAATATATGACTCAAGCTGGTCTTGAACTTTGCTTCTTTCTTTTCGAATCCTTTTAAAAATTCAAAAAAACGCGGATCAGAAGAAACTTCTTCAGAATTGATGAGCCCACACGTCAAACGAAACTTTTTCGGAGCTTAGAGTATTGGAAAAGGAGTAGGCGGAATTGAATGTGAAATCGACCCCTAAAATCTGAAACAGAAGCTTTTCAAAAATCCAAAAGTGACGTATTATGATTCTTTACGATAGTGATTGAAAAGCAAAAAAAGATGAGCAATTCCGGAACAGGTTGTCTACCATTCTGAAGACAAAAGCAGTAATTATCACACAGAGTTGGGCTTTCTGATCGCCTAGCTTTGTGTTGACTTGGTTTTTGAGTCATTTTTTGTGACTGACTCGCGGTACAGTATTGATAAATGTGAAAGAGTTCAAACTGTGCGGATCTGAATTTTCTGACTTTAGATCTGGCTCATCGAGAAAGGATGTAAGCCTCCACTTGAAAAAATGCCCAAAGTACGGGTTTTTTCTCTGAAATGCCTCGCTTACCAAGTTAGCTATCGATATCTCGAACTCACCGCAACAAGATGGTGTCAGACGATTATCTATTTTGGTACGAAGTTCTGCTTAACAATTTTTAGATTGTCCTGATCACTTGGAACAGACTAACAGTCTGGCCCGATGCGTACATCTTGAAGATAATGTCATCATAATTATAGTGAATCACGGTATTTTTCTGACGACGTCAAAGACTGTTTTTGGGTGGGTTGGGAAGAGTAGGGCTTGTGGGAATATTTACTACATCTGAATGTTTGTTTGATGACGTCGCATGTGCATTCAGATTATGATGACGTGGCTATATACGCAATTCATCATAATTATACATGTTCAAATTTTCAATTGAAAAAACCAAAAGCTCAAAAATTTAAGTTTGATTTCACACTGATTCCTTTGGCACGATACTACTCAAGATTCCCAGGGCTTCTGTCTAGATTTTAGACTTTGAGAAGTCTAGAAGAGTTTTGAAAAAAGTTAGTTTGAGAGAGGAAAATAAAAACACATGACCATTGTGCAAAAACGGCGTGGGAACTTGAACAGAATCCATCGAAAAGAACTGTGTTGTTGCTGAGGAATAAGTGCAATTCACGGGTGTGGGAGAAGGATTAGTAGCAACAACATCATGTGTTCTTTTTTGGCAGAGATCCGAGAACTTCTCGATCCGGCCGTGTGAAATTATTTCGTACAACGGAGGGAATGTTTAATTTTTCAATGTCTCAGGGAGCTTTGGCCAAAGGTTGAGCGTCAATTAGGCAAACTGCCCAGGTGGGCGAGTCGTTGGTTTGGGCAAGGTTTGGTCCAAATTGCCAAGGTTTTACGCATCTTGCCCACCGAATAGGCGCCTTTGCCCAAACCGGGAGTGCAAGGCAGCCCACTCTTATGGCAATCCGCCTAAATATATGAAAAGTTCATCTCGTTCCGATCATCATCTGATTAGTGGAACACAACCCACGCAACCTTGCGAATCCAGTTAATTCGGTGACCTCAAAAAGATACAAGCGCCTCTTCAGCTGGACCCGTGCCTCCTAATGGAATCCATTCTCTACAGAATCAAGCATCATCAGATGATTTTATTTGTGATAAATGCCAAAATAACCCTTTATTATCCGATGTTCCTTGTCAGCTTTCCATAACATTAGTGTAAACATCTGAAACAAGTTTCGCATCCGTCTGTGACCATTGAACGGTCTGTCGTTCATATTATTTCATGACACACAATATTGAAGCTCTTTTCAGTTCCAATCGGCCCAGATATTATTGTCTTCCTATCTTCTATCTATCCATTCTACCGCCGGTGTCCCGCCGATGCCCCGCCCCGTCTCCGCGCCCACTGTTATCTTCCATTTTAGACTGTCTGCACTTTGCCACGCCTCTTATTCGAGTAGTATAAAAAGCTTGGTTCCGAGAATAAATATCATTTCACATCACATTTTCTTATTCTCATAACAATCTAGTAATTTGCAGAACCAAAAATGAAACTCCTCGCCCTCATCGCCGTAACTGTCCTTTTTGCTCAAACCGTCTCCTCATTCCTGGACCGAGATGCCACTGCTCGCTACTTGAAGGAAATGGAAATCGAGTTGGAATTGGAGAACAACCTAAAAGCTCTCTCGCGTGCTCGTCGAGTTCCAGGCGCTCCTGACGCTCGTTCTTGTGGACCGAAACTCGTCAAATTGGTTCTTTCAGTTTGTGGAGACATCTGTACTCCAAGTAAGAGTGGTTTCATCTCTGATATGTACCGATTTTTCAATTTCAGAAAGCGGCCTGGACATTGCCACCCACTGTTGTGCAGATCAATGCAGTGATGACTATATTAAAGAAGCATGTTGCCCATGAAAACCCTCTCGAATCCGTCTTTGATCTCTTCTAATTTAACTGTTATTTTATCAGCAATGTAGATCTCTCTTCTGATGATTACTCCAATCTAGTTGGCTTCAATAAATGAGTTGATTAATACTTTTTCTTGTTTTTTTTGTCCAGATAAAGAAGAATGACCTTAAACAACTAAAAAAATACTTTAAAACCTGTAATAGAAGGGAATTTCAATTTCATGACATTTGAAAATACCATAAACACTCTAATCGAACGACCTATATCTTTAAACTTTGAGCCAATTTTTTTCGGTTCCTGTGAAAGATATAAAAAAGTGGTCAACTGACAAAATGTATCAGAAATATTTTGTATCAGAAATATTTTGTCAGTCTACCACTTTTTGATATCTCGCATACAAAACTAGATAATTGAGCTCAAACTTGACAATATGGGGGCCCTTCTACGGTATAAGGTTTAACTTGTAACTTGTAACTTGTTTTTAGGGTATTTTTGTGATAATGGAAAATCAGTATTTTCAAGTGTTACAGATGGGAAAAGAGAATTTCCTCGAGGGATGAGAGCATAACAGCAAATCGAAATACATTTTAAAAATTACAACGAGACTTTTTTGATGTTTACCATCTTTATTGGAGATGGATAACATACTTGTGCTGGGACGGGACGGGCTTTTTTCGAAAATTTCAAGAAATTTCAGCTAATTTTCAAGGTTTCGGAATAAAAACAACGCTCATTTATTTTCAGATCAACCAAAGTAGTTTCTGCACATCATGGATCAAAACATTTTTTTGTTTTTGTTGTTTTCCGATTTTCCAATTTTCCATATTGCAACCTGATTAACTACTTTCTTTTTCCGTATTTTCTCATTTGTCGTTTTCCCATCCCTTTCCCTTGTCTATTCAGCGCATCCATTGGTTTATATCTGCACTTTCTCTCTTATCTCTTGTTTTTTCATGAATCATAAGTCATATTCGATATCATGAGCTCCGACGAAAAATCTAAATTACTACTTGCCAACACACTCCGCCCCTTTCGCTTCTCTCTGAAGCTCTCTCTTTTCTTTGTCACGACTTTTTCAGAAGCGGAAGGCGGAGCTCCAGCAAGAGGACGAGGCTCAGACTCCTCCCCTTCTCCGAGATAATCCCTCAGTATAAAAACGTTGAAAAATCAGAAATCCTTCATACCTTATCATAGGATACCCACATTTCGAAACATCTCAATACCCACATCTTCCCCTTATTCCCATCATGAATTCCCTTGCCATCGTTCTTCTTCTTGTCGCAGCTTACATGGTCAACGCAACCGCTACATTCCACGCTCAGGATCTCGACGGATCGTCCGAAGTTAACGATCGTCTCATTAGACAGCTCGCCTTCGAGCTTGCCGTCGACGATGCCATCGAGAACATGCCAAAGTCGAGAGCCCGACGAGCATCAAGAACCTGTGGACCACGTTTGATTGCCTTTGTGATGAAGGTGTGCGGAGATCTATGCTCACCACGTAAGCTTCAGCACAATCCTCATCAGTTTTCAATAAGAATTTTTCAGAAGAGGGCAAGGATATCGCTACTCACTGCTGTGGAAGTCAATGCACCGACGAGTACATCCGTGAGGCTTGTTGCCCATAGACACCTCCGTCTCCCTGGCTTTGATCGTCATCCAGTACCCCAGTCGTTTTCTCTTCCAGTGATCTCCCCGAAATAATTTTGTTTCTTCCATTTGATTCTGTGATTCTGATTCTCTTGATTTCTCCACCAATTTTCCCTGTGTTCATATATATGCAGAAACAGAAATAAAGGTCCTTGTTGAAAAGTTGTTTACGGATGTCCAAGGATTGAAATGTGAAATTCGCAAGGCTAATTGTCCTCTTCTCCGCAGTCCTCTCCGCAATAGGACCAAAATGAGCCGCGTTCTCCTTCCGCGTACTTCTTCTTCTTCTTCTTTTCGGTTCACTTTCTTCCGCCAGTCATGCTCTTTGAAGAGCACACGTGACTTTTGAGCAACACCTGTCAGGGAGCCGGCCAGAAATCTAAAGTGCAACACGGAATTATCATTTGCATCTTCCGGAGATTCGATTGTTGCCGAGTGCATTGTGTGTGCAGTGCAAAAAAATCATCCGATTCAGATTGAGAGACACGAATTTGATGGATGAGTCTAAAGCTGAAGAAACACCCCGTTTCACCTCAGATGCCCGGAAGTTGATATTACCATTGTTGTCTAGAAATTATCCCAGGTTTCCAGACATAAAGTGGTCAACAATAACAACTATACAGAACTATACAAAGAAGAGATCTAAATTTTTATTTTTCATATCAAATTATCAGTTTGCTTTACTTTTATTTTCGCTTCCCAGAAGAATAGCGAAAGAAGAACGAACCCCTGTGATTACGGTAGGGAGGACTCTAATAATTAGGAGAGAGTGATTTTCGGAAAACTTTTCGGAAAACAAGCAAATTTTGGTTCTAGCCAGTTGGATGGTTCTGATCAAATATGCGACTCATTTTGTATCGAGTGCAGAGAGATTAGGCTTCTGATAACGAAAACAGGCAGAAAACATGTGAACCGCAATTCAGCCATTTTTGAGCAACTTCTCCCAGATCCTGCCAAAAATCGAGTCCTCTTAACTTTCGACCAGAAGTTACAAACCGACAGCCAAAAAGTATAGAAGACACTAGATTGTATCTGAAGTACTTTTTATAGTTAAAAAAAATTCGGTGCTGATGAATATACAATTTGAGACAAGTTTCAAAATAAGTACGAACTATAAATCAATGACACTACCGCTTTAAAAGTTCCAGAAAAGCCCTATGATCTAGATCTTCTGGTAATTTCTGAAATTTCATAGACCAGAAATGCTAGTTAGTGTGGGAAAGTAAAGTTATCAGTACATTCATGTTTCTATTATTGTTCTAGACCGAACCATGTGGGTCGTGGGAAAGTAATTTATCGCACGAGAAAACTTATTTTCAGTCTTGTACTTGAGCGTCGCCGACAACTTCTGATCGGAGATTGGTCAGATTCAGGATAAGACCATTACTAAAGCCAACCAAGTTTCGAGAAACCTATGACAAGGTTCCAACCTATTAGTATTTCCACTTTCAGGTTCCCAACAAAATATGACCATGGCCCGCTATAGAGCCGTTTTTGGGTAAGTTCCGACCAGAACCTGACGAATGTCTGATCATTCGGAATCATAGCACACTTTCTGCTAGACTTGTGAACTTCATTCTTATAAAAAGGTCAAACTACGAATTACTGTCTTGTTGGTTTCATGACAAATCATCAGTCATGTTGGGACAAGCCGTGTTGGCTTTAATTTTCAAACTGCATCAAAAATTAAATTTTCTGAAACAAAAAAATGCACGTACAATCGAATTTTCTAGACTTGTATCCATTAACCTCATGTTCGCAGAATGCTTCAACCATGGGAAGCATGGAACATCGGAACAAAGATCCTTTGGGATCAGATATTAATACTTCCAATCCACCTAGCAAATCCACATCAACCCTTACAAATAAGCAAATGTACAAAAGTGTATTTCGAGAAAAAAAAACCAAGATAAGTTCATTCCACTTTTCCCCAGCAGAACCTTCATCAATGTTCACTTGTCAAAATTAGTTAATGTCAACTCTTCAGGAAATCTGTTGAACTTGTTGTCCTGTTTCGAGTAAAGTAGAAGCGTACGGTGCCTGTCTCTACCAACCTTGACATCGTTTACTTCCCGTTCTGCCTTTCTCTCTCCCTTTTCATTTGTCTTTTCGGAGATTTTTGCGGTTCAAAATAGTGCATTTCGATTAGATGAACCGAAATTTTCGGAATAGTTCATTTGCATCGCAGTTCTCTACGTGTTGTTTTCTACTGAAATAAAAAGTCAGTACACTCTTGAAAACAGAAGAGTACATCATCAAGACATTGACAATTATCATCGTCACGTCTTCTTAATCTAGAGGGACTGAGCTTTGTCTATACTGATTGCAGGTTTGAACTCTGGAACTCTGGTGCTTATGCATTTTATAGTTTGTCGCTGGAAAGTCTAAATTTGGGATAAGTGAACGGATGCTCGTCAAAAAAGCTGACAATCACGAACCGAACTTTAACAAAAAAAAATAGAGCTATACTTCCGTTTAATTATCAAAGTGCTATCAAGCCGGAAGCCGATTGAGAGGATACATTTCAATGAAAAAGCGTTTTCAAACGTTTTTGAATTAAAATTATCATTTCCGGCGTGGAATCTATTACATTGGAAGTGCTCTAGAGGATGTTTGATGTGAGACTGGTTCCATTGATGTTCGAATATGAGGAATAAAGTAACATTTAAAACTGAAAAATCTCCAACAGGAAGACGTGAAAATCGGAAATATCAGAGCTAATCTTATCAAAGACATGTGAATCATGGTTGAGTTTTAGTTTCAGAAAGTGACAGAATACATTATAAGATTTGCATAATTAAAGAATCGTCACTCTGTCCTAATTCCGCCAACGTTTTCTTTCCAAATCCTATTGTTAGCTCTTTTGTAAAATCGGGTTTTTGAAAATGCTTTTCAAATGGGGTTTTCGCCGATGCAGACGCTGCAGAAAAATAAATATTGAATTCAACTCGAAAGATTAAGAATCAGCAAACTGGGAATATTTTGACACCTAAAATATGTTTTCTCGACTAATGGCTCGACATTACTAGTTCAATGAGCACCTCATATTGAGGGACTGAAACGTCATTTTTTTCTTGGTTTTTTAAACATTAACAAGAAAAGAAGTAAATTTTATTACAGATCCGCAAGCATTCCATATATTACAAGCAAGCAATATAAAATCTGCATGGGAGAAAATAGTTTATGAAATGATTTTCTGAATTATCTTCCAATACTGTTACGGGGAATCTTCAAAAGTACACGAAAAATGTCGATGGAACAAAACAACATCTCGCGGCGGGATCGTTCTGGTCAATGCTTCTCGGCTTCTTGAGCTCAGAATCGGTATGTACAACATTTTTGTCAAATCGATTTTTGAGACTGCAAAACCATTATTTTCTTCATGTTTTCTTCGCCGATGACAATTTACAGATACTTCCACACACATTGATTGGAAACTTGTGATATTTGATTCCACAGGTATGAGGTTCTCGGATATTTCGAAATATGTCATTTGAAAAATAGAATCGACGATTTATGTTTCGGAAATTAGTTTCATTTCATAAGATAACGAACTTCATTTCGAGTTATTGGTCTGACAAGTCAACACCATACTGTTGTTGTGAGAAATAATAGGTAATAGGTAATTTTTAGAATAGTTATTAAATCCAAGAAACTTTGAACATATCGTGCCTTACTTCTGTTCAGAATATTTGAAATGACTTCGAAAGTTCGCCAAACAACGGCAAAACCACAAGTTTTGTTGATGATTCAGTAACGTAATTTTACAGAATAGCGATGTTCTGAGCAATATTCTGCTCAGACTAGCACAGACCGGACTAAAAATGGAACACATAGAAAGGTAGGCTCGAAAAATTGGATGTTGGAAACTTGGAAAAAAATTGGATGTTGGAAACTTGGAAAAAAATTGGATGTTGGAAACTTGAGAAATGAAAATAACGATGTACCGTAAACATGTATTAGCAGAAGATCCTTTTAATTCAAAGACCCCTCACCATGAAGGGCTCTAAGAGAGACTTGGAAAAATAAAAAGGTCCCTGTAAAAGCTCTCTCAATATGTGTTGTTCGAAATTTAAAAATAAATGTTTCGAAAAGAATAACCATAAAAATAAAAGAGCCCTTTCTAATTGAAGGGCTCCTTCAATAGAATGGCCATCCGAAGGTATCTTGGAACAAAAGAAGGGCCGGCCCTTCTAATACAGGTTTTTACAGTAGTCGATTTCATAGCAAGGAAAGATCTCGGTGAAAATTCCATTTCCATAATTTTCTCTAATCCTTCTCCCGAATTATTTTTTTTTCAAATTCTGCTCCATAGTCACAATCAGAGCACTCCCCTCTAACTTTGTTCCCATTAAATCAATCCTTGATCTCACACATCAGTTTCAGATCACGCCATTCCAACTTTTGATCTCAAGTTGATTTCTTCATCTATTCTTCATCTACACACATCTTCATCTACGCACACACAATTATCTCCAAATTTCCCATTCCTTACTACTCGAAGGGGCGGAACTTCTGTGGTGGTATACCATATAAAAACGAAGCGCAGCATAACAGAATACTATTCGAAAGAAGCGAAAATGAATTCCAAACTCTTCGTCGTGGTGACTGTCTTCTTGTTTGTTCTTCTGGTAAATGCCAAATCAGGGTCAGAAGAGTCAACGTCAGCAGAGATGAAAGAAGCTATTGATGCACTACTACACCAGCATACAAAGCACAATCGTCGTTCATGTGGAGCTGGGGCAGTGTTCAAAATTATGGAGCTGTGTCCCAATTTATGCACAATCTCAGATGGTAACCGCTTAAAAATATTCAGCTGATCAGAATTCATATTTCAGATAATATCTACGAAGATATGTGCAAGGGACATCTTTCGGATTACGCCATCATCAAACGTTGTTGTCCGTAGCTCACCATTCTCTTCACTTCAAGTCAGGAGACGTTCCTTATCTACCTCTGAATTCAAACTACATACATCTCAAATAAATAATTACCGTTAAAATGTTTAATGAACACAAGCAAAAAATCAGAATACAGATATTTCAGACAGAACACATTTCAGCTTCTCGGACTGTTGCCTTTTGTAGCTGGATTCTTTTCAATTCGTCGAATTGATGTGTCAAGTGTTTACTTCAGGACAAGAACTACAAAATGTAAAGTGACCGTATTAGTGTAATGAGGGAGTTAGTCATAACCCTAGGTGGCGCCTTGGGTTAGACTGTCCATCCAGACCAGTTCCAAATTTTTCAGAATCATGTGATCCGTCGTGCCTGATCTTTAACGTTGAATTTCCATTGTTTTTGGACTTTCCAGTTTTCAAGTATGCCTGGAATTGTAGGCTACGATTTTCATGATTTGAATACATGAATGATTCTGTAAGTTTCCTTCAGTGATCAAAGTCATCATGGTATTGAATAAAATATTTCGTCATGTACCCCTGAAATGATTTTGAAAACCTGAAAATTTCGGGAAGTCAGGAGCGCCACTTCGACAGCATGGCCAAGATCTTCAAACATATAAGGTTTCGAAATGTGGAAACAGTTTTTTCAGCCTTCTCATAAAAATGGAACTGAGTCTAGTAATCTTTACATCTGTTTTTTGTTTGAAGATTATAATTTTCAGCTGAGAAAGTTGTAGCTGATACAGCATTCTTTTTCAAAACTTCCAACTTTAGATTTGAGAATGTTTTTTCTCCTATAATAAGATAATAGAACTTCGGGAGAACATTCTAGAAGTTTTCCTACGTAACGTTTTCCGGCAGATTTTAATAGTCAAGAGATTAGAAACATACTGTAGGAAAACACCGGGTTTCAAAAGGCCTGGTCAGAAATCGCGCCCCAGCGAACGTGAGAGTGGCTGAGTATCAATTGTACAACGATGAGAGAAAAAGCGCGTTTGTCAAATCAGCGTCTAAATTTATGTCGGGCTGGATTTCTGACCAGGTCTTTTGGAACCCTGTTAATCAGAAAAGTAGGTGCTCTGACTCTAAAAGGTCAGAATATTGAATACTGTTGAAGAGTTGAATGGCTGTAAAAAGTTTTTTGCAATCAGAAAAGTATCGCTTACGTGCTCCAAAATCGAGTGCTTTAAAAGTTTGCCTATTTGTAACCTAGAAAACGTGGAAATGACTCCACTGATCTCAACAACAAGACCTCTCAAAACTATAAAGCTTTTGTCTCTAATCGTTAAGAAGTCAGCGCTGAAAGATATCATTTGGTGGTAATCCAATTTTAATTCCTCAACACATTTCAACACTCTTTTTTTCTCATCTAGAAAATGACTGGAATACAAGAACCCGTTCTCCCGCGATGGATCGTTCTCTGGCTTTTCGTCTCCGGAATGATCTGCACTTATGACGTGGCATACACAATGAACCGTCCTTTCACAAATGATCCGGCCAGTCCGAGGGCAAATTTGCTGTTTGGGGGATGTAAGTTGCCCCGATCCGAGGTCACAAAAACCCAAAGTTGTTTTCGAATAGCTGGGCAATTAGTCTTTCCTAACCTTGTGTGATAAGGTTGGGATTGATAAGCATGAAAAAGGAAAGATATGGTATTTCTCGAATTGTGTTTGTCTCTTCTTCAAAAGAACACTTCTTCCGATTCAGTTTGGTCGAATTATTAAGGTTGTGTCTGTTGTCGTCACGAACAAGACATGTTTTTTAATGATATCGGGAGAATGAAAAAAATGGGGTTGTATGTATAGTTCCCAAAAATAGAAATGGAATTTCAGGGGCCCTCTACTCATCGGTTGATCGTCACTATCTGACAACCAATGACATCTTCACATGCTCAACGGGACGTGTCATGCTTCTGGAATGTCTTCTGAACTTCATCGCAATCGGTCTGGCAGCTGCTCGTAACCGTCATGGACTTCTTCTCGCTTTCACTTCTAATATTATGGTCCTCTGGAAGACGATTCTCTTTTTCTCTGTGTTTCTGGGACAACCCGATGGACACCTGCCACCAATGAATCCAAACAAATCGGTTTGGTCGAAGTTTATGATTTTCTGGATTCCCAACGGTGTGTTTAGTTTTCGTTTTGATTCAGATATCACCTTTCTGTGAAATGTTTATTGAAGTAATAGTTGAGAGAAAATATAGAGAGCAGAGAGCTTCGTATAAAATAGATCCAAAACTTCCGTTTCCTCCATTTAACGATTTCTAACCCCAATCCCATTCTCACCTTTTATTCAAAGTCTAGAAAGGTCCGAGAGCCTATCCCGGAACGCTATCGGTTGCACTTTTCAAAAAACCGAGCTGCCCGGGGATAGACTCTTGGCTTCAGAAAGACATTATTTTATTATGCCCTAACATTATTTAGGTGTATGGATCATCATGCCTACAGTAGTCCTCTTCGCCCTCTGGAACAAACTCGCATTGCCTCCGAAAATCTCTGAAAAATACTGGGAAGCGAGCAACAAATGTCGAGGAGATCTTAGCTTCGAAGATCAGAAGAAGGTTGCCCTCGACTGAACTTTTCCCTATCAAGATTGTCATAAATTTCCCCCTTTCCTCCCCCGTTTCTACCGTTTTATGAAAAATAAATCTGTGAAGATTGAAATCTCTCTAAATATTAAGTATCTATGAATAGAATCTTGGTGAGTTTTATTTGCGAAAGTGTGTAACATTTATGAAACTGTTTATGTTGATTCTAATGCAATGAAAACTGGAATTTCGGTTGGAGTTTCAAAGATTATCATCACTGTCAAATAAAAACTTGATAAAAATGATTGATGTTGCAAGGCTTATTGATCAGGAACGCACGTGGGTTCAAGCCAATGGGTCAGAAATCGCGCCCCAGTAAACGTGAGATTTTAGAAAAAATTCGTTGCTGAATTATGTGGCTGAGGATCAAACTTTTAAACGTTGCACGAAAAAATCACGTGTTGCAACTCGTTGATTAGAACTAATTAGGTCAAATGCACGTCAACTTGGAAATTATTAAATTTCTTTTGGCCTAAAAGTTATTTGGGGCGCGTTTTTTGACCCGTTGGCTTGAATCCAAGTGGGAACGTTCTATTTACCAAATTCATAATTTTTTAGGCTTTTCGAAGACACATCAGATATTTAGAAACTCCACCTACAAAACCGCTCAATAAGTTATAAGATATAGATAAACTTTTGTTTTTATTTTCGGCCATTTTGACCATTTTCAAGAGTCTGGGGCTCGGCTGTCAAGTTTTCGATCACTTTGAAAATTTCGGAAAGTATAAAACAGACATAGGTTGAAAACTTTGCTTTCACAGAATTTTTCAAAAATTCCTAGTTTTTCAAATGTGGTCAACTGACAAAATGTTTATCGTAATATCAATAATATTTTATCAATTAACCACTTTTTGATATCTTTCACTAGAACCGAAATCTATGAGCTCAAAGTAAACGTAGAGGGTGACCTTCTATCAAAGTGTTTATGATAACTGGTGCTCTGATATTTTCTCCGAGCTGAAATTTTCAATTCTTCGAGCTCTAAATTTCAATAATGATTCCCTCCCTACCATAAGCCCTTTCGTGTTTTGTACCCACACTTCCCAGATGTTCCGATGTCCAGTTTTTCTTTTTCTTCTTCGTCAAATATCCCAAAGCTTACGTCACCTCCTGCGACTCCAAGATCTCACATATCAGATTTTTCGAAATTGTTCGAAATCCTCCCCCGCGATTTTTCCAAACACCAAAAAAACTCAGCGACGAAAATCCCGTATTTTTCCGTTTTTCAAAAAGACCCCTGTTCCGATATTTTCCAGTTGTTATGTTTACCCAAAAACGTTTTGAATTCGGGTGGGATAGCAGATTTCAGTCGACGATAGACGAGAAGGCGGTAGAGTGGAGAAATCATCATTGTAAATTGTAAAAAGAAGAAGAAATTATTGCAAGATTCTAATCGTGAAGTCTGAAATCTATGAAGACGTGTGAATACTGGGAATTCTGTAATAAAGGAGAAATAAGTACATAAACAAACTCATAAACTTTGTTGTTAGCTTTTCACACATTAAAAGCAGAGAATTCTGCGAAAAGATGGGCATTTCAGATAGGCTACTGAGTAGCTACACTCTCAACAGTAACAACTGGTTCAAAGAGCAATTAGCTGAAGATTCCAATCATTTCGTCTTCTGCTTTCATTTTTCCCTTGTTCTAGAATTTTCGTTTTATTGGTGGAATAAAAAATTGGCATTCCAATACAATGGAATCAATTTTGCACGGGTCATAAACTCGATGCCCTCTTCCTTTTCCACCCACAACCTTTTTTGATCGTATTCTTTATTCTCACTTTCCGCCAATGCAACAAAACGTTGTACAACACAATCAGAGACGGAGTTGACAATGAAGATAATGGGGATTCCTCGGAAATCTGTAACACAAAAAAACTCAGAGAGTGCCCAAACGATGCGTAAATTATGCAACATCATTTGAATAGGGGCACACGGGCGCCAGCCTATTCAAATCAAGATAAGAAGGAGGCCGGAAGAAGAAGAAAGGGGGTGAAAATGGTTTGTATGCCATTGGCGTATATGAATTAGAGAGATGAAATGGGAGAGAGTGTTGAAAACGTGTGAATACGTTTACATATACAGAGAGACGTTGGGATGTACATACGGGCAGAACGATGACTTTCTTGGTGAGAAAATGTAAATGAGACACATTTGTTGAAAAGGGGGAAAAGCTACCATGGTCGCCAAACCGGGGTCAAGTGCTTTCTCTCTTTTTTCCGATCGGAATTTTGTAGTTTGTGGGAAAGTGAGGGGCTATTAGCTATTAACGAGGATGACGATATTCAACATTTTTTAGGAAATTGGTCAAATTATGTTGCATTGTTGGAATGGAGGTGTCTGTCATACGTCCATGTACCTCAAGTATCTCTGACATTTTGTTCGCTTTGTATTCCATCGAGAGAATTAGGTAAACTATTACTGGAATACAGAAGAAGTTTCTTGATTTATAAAATTAAGAACAATCGCAACAATGAAGGTCATCCGTGTTCATGCCTAGCAACTTTTGAGTTATGGAACCAAAACTGAAATTTTTTCTAACCTCAAATGACGCAGACTACGCCGGCACCTGGACGTTTCAGAACTCGACATTTCAGAGCCGGACATTTAAGAACCCGACGTTTCAGAAGCCGCTGTTTCAGAACTTTCCTGCATTTTTTGCATTGTGGTTTCAACTAATTGGATTGAGCAATACTTATTTTATTTCATGTGCAAAAATCAGTGTACAAAAGTACAGAAAAGTACTAAAATGTTGAGTTCTGAAACGTCCATAAGCCGCTACGCCTTCTGTAAACAATTTTTTCCGTTATAGAATTTTAATAAAGTCCGAAAAATCTGATCTGAATCCAACCAGACGCACTGATCTTCAGATTGGCGCATAATTACCCGGACTGATAAAAAAAGATATATTTTCAGGCATAGGTATCTTGGAAACACGAAAATTGGTGGAAATGTAATTTTACGTTTGATTCAAAGCTACTGAAATTTTCAAAGAGATTCCTCAAGTCCAGGTATTGTTGTGATTGCCAAAAATTGAACGTTTTTCATGATTAAAATGAGATGGAGCAAATTTGACAAGCGATAATTCAGCTCAAATTCAGTCATATGGCTTGAAACTTTTGTCAGTTTACTGATTAATAATTTGAATTTCCGTACTCTAAATTTGAGCCCAGTACAACGCTTTGCTCAAGTTATATGCTAATATAAACTTTAGTCCGGGTAACTATGCCACCCTGTCTTTCAAACCGCCGAAAATGATTTTTCATCAGTCCCGGCATTTTTTTCTCGAGTAGACTAAACTATTTTCAGGTATGATGAAACCGAAATTCAAGCGTTCCTGTTCTAACTGCAACCTACTCGGCAAACCTAAACTAATGACTCATTTTGAAATATCTCAGTTGCTACCGCATCTTTTCATTTTCCGTTGTAAAATCCCTGACTCATTAAATATCCAGTTCCTTTTCAAAACAATCCGACCGAAATCATTGCTTCGTCAGAGGGTGCGATCAAAAACAAACAGAAGACAATGAGCGAATTCTCGCGGCGGGGAATGTCCAGAAGCGTTACGTAATCCGAACGGCGCTTCCGATCAACATCTTCTTTTTCCGATCCCTATCTCTCTTCACTTGCCGTGGCAATAAATATTAATGCCCGAAACCATGCCGGCTTCTCCTCCCTTCCCGCACTTTCGTCTTCTTTTTTTGCAGAACTTTTTTCAGAGTGTCGATGGCACGTCGTCCCTCTACACCTCATTTGCATACGGAACACCACACCAAAAAGAACGGGTTTACTCTTGATTAGGTTGGTATGCGTTCGCGCAAGCATTACCTGAAGGACACCCCTGCCACGTCATGAAGAGGAATTTGGTTTATTATGATAGGGTAGAAAAGCGCCGAGATAAAACAAAACCTCCTTCAAACCGAATCCAGAAATACTTTGCTGCTTCGTGTTCTTCTACTGGCCGCACATCCACCTATTATCATAACGATGTTCATCATAAAAAGGCGTTATGATCTGGATTCGCTTGAGAAAAAGAGAAAGGAATGAGGGAAAAGAACAAACTCAAACAATGACTAAATGATTGTGGAAGCAAGCAGTCAGCAGCACTTATCCCCTGCCACAAAACATCACTTTCTTCTTTCGTTTTCCAATTTTCCGTATATGTATCGAAAAAATTCGGAAAGCCTTCTGAAGTGGCAGGGACACGGAGAGATGACTGATTAGTTCTTGAAAGGAAAATTGAATTTCGATCGGGTCGGTATCGAATAAATGGCACTGTTTGACCCTGGTTGAGTGATTCAGGAGGGGCACAATGTGATTTAGGAGTTATCCAATTACAATTCAATTTTGTTTCGGTTTTTCTTATACCACTCATGGGAAAACTGAAGAAGGGAGTGGTGGAGGAGACCATGAAGGGGTAAAAAAGGGATGCAAAACATGACAACGGATGAGTGACAAGATAATCGGACATACTTTTTGAGAGAAAATGAGAAGGGTAAGAGGAAAGAAAGTGTCCAGTCCATCCGGTAAGGGACTTTCACTATGAAAAGTAACGAAGAGTCTAAAGATGTTTAAATGAACAATTTTTAGTCTCGTAGGTTGTCAGACGTCTTTTGTCTAAAAAAAAGCTGAAATTGAAAAAAAAATGTCTTCGGAGTTACTGTAAACGCTCCAATAGAACGCCACCCCTAATTTTTAACTTTGACTCAATTTATCCCGGTTCCTTTCAAAGATATCGAAAATTGTGAACTGATAAATTCTTTATCATAATAACACCAATATTTTATCAGTTGACAGACTTTTGATTCCTCTCATAGGAAGCGAGATAATTGAGCTCAAACGTAGAGAGTGGGGTTCTATACGGTACAAGATCTTGCAAAATATTTTATAACACCGCTGATAAGAAAGTGGATCTTCAGAATATGCATACAAATGTAAAAACTTCTTTTCGAAACTGAAAAAAAATTGAAGAAATTTCTAATTACCAATCTTCGAATAAATGTTCAATTAACAGTTACAATTTGGTCTCGATGTTCTCTGATGTTCCCTTTATTAATTCACTTCCCTTTCCTCCTACACTACCAGGTACTTTTTCTCCAAGTTTCCGCTGATGGAAACCTTTTGTCACTTTAGCATGTTCCTGTGTCGTCAATTGAAACCCTCTTGAATTTCGATTTCATTGGGAATATATAAATGCCATCAGTCTCTCCGTCTCTCACTAAATTTAGAAATTGAGAAGCATTATGTTTTTCTGTTGCTTCTTTGCTTCTTCCCCCTTCTTCCAACTTTTTGCGTAGAAGGAGACCCCAACAACCATTTTTGTAATCGTCTGTATGTACTCCATGTAGGCGTGCCGTTTGACGCCGCCCACATTTCTGTCGACGATACACGACACCCATTGCCAAATGTGCCTCTATAAAAGGCGCTGAAGGCATAAGGCGAAAACCATAACGCTTCTGCCATCGTTCAGCCTAAATCTTCTTCTTCTTTCCAACTACTTTTCGAATAATTCGTTCCTTACATTTCTATTTCTAATCTCATTTTTTCATCTTTCCTTCTTCATATTTGCTTAATGCATTGTTTTATATAATTAGCTCGTATATATCTCGATTCTTCAACTTGACCACTTCATTGTTTATTGTCTTTTTATTTCAGAATGAGATTCTCATTCGTTTTGGCCATACTAATAGTTGCCATCTATGCGGCACCTCTTCCCCTGGTGTGAGTTTTTCTCTGATGCTCCCTGTTCCCACAACAATCATTATTATTCAGAGAAAAGATCAAACGCACACTAGCATTTTTGAAAAAGGCCAAGACTATTGGAGAGTATGCTATTAATACGGTATGTAACTCCATCCAAGATAATCCAGTTTTTATTAATATTCCGTTTTTAGCCTACTGGAATCTATCCTATCAAAGATATTAATGATGATAACTTCCTTGATATTTTCAAATTCCGACCTGAAATCGAGAAGTTGAGACAAGAAGAGAAAGCAAATGCTGCAGCTGCTGCCAAGTCTACTGATGCTGCTGTCAACTCTGCCGTAGTCGATACCGGATACGGAGGAGATGGTCAGTTATTTTATTTTCCTTCAATCTACTGATTCAAAAAATTTCAGTTGCCGCTGCTGCTCCAGCACCAGAGCCAGCAACAAGTGGTGCTCCTGAACCATCCGCTGAGCCAGCTCCCACTACAGTCGAAGGATCCGGGTCCATTGAAGGATCAGGTGCTCCAGCTGAAGTTGCAACCACCGTCGCTGCTGATGGTGCACCAGATAACTCATTCACTGAAACCTTGACCGCCGAAACTGAACCAGCTATTATTCTTCCACCAACTCAGCCACCAAAGCAGCTTTCTCCACCAGCTAGTGGATATATTACATCTGACCAAGAGAAGCCTGCTGCTCCAGCTGAGGAGACGCCTGCTCCAGCCGCTGAAGATACCCCAGCTCCAGAAGCCGCCCCAGCCGCCGAAGAGACTCCAGCTCCAGCTCCAGAGGCCGCTCCAGCCGCCGAGGAAACCCCAGCTCCAGCTCCAGAGACTGCTTCAGCTGCTGAGGAAACTCCAGCTCCAGAAGCCGCTACAGCTCTAGCAGCTGAAGGAGTCCCAGCTGGATACGTTGATGGTACTGCTAGTGCTCCAGCACCAGCTTCTGAACAACCAGCACCAGAAGCACCACCCGCTGAAGAGACACCAGCTCCAGAAGCTACCCCAGCTGCTGATGAAACCCCTGCGCCAGCCCCAGAAGCCGCGCCAGCCGCTGAAGAGACACCAGCTCCAGAGGCCGCTTCAGCTGCTGAGGAAACTCCTGCTCCAGAAGCAGCCCCAGCTCCAGAAGCAGCCCCTGCTGCCGAGGAGACACCAGCACCAGCCCCAGAAGCAGCTCCAGCTCCAGCTGCCGAAGAAACACCTGCTCCTGAGACTGTTTCTTCTGCTCCAGGAGCTGAGAATCCTTATGGAGGAGACGCCACCCCAGCTCCTGAAGCCGCCCCAGCTCCAGAAGCTGCTCCAGCTGCCGAAGAGACTCCAGCACCAGCCCCAGTTCCAGAAGCCGCCCCAGCTGCCGAAGAAACTCCAGCCCCAGAAGCCGCCGCAGCCCCAGAAGCCGCTCCAGCCGCTGAAGAGACATCAGCTCCAGAGGCCGCCCCAGCCCCGGAAACCGCCCCAGTTGCCGAGGAAACCCCAGCTCCAGCTCCAGAAGCTGCTCCAGCTGCCGAAGAGACTCCAGCACCAGCCCCAGTACCAGAAGCCGCCCCAGCTGCCGAAGAAATTCCAGCCCCAGAAGCCGCCGCAGCCCCAGAAGCCGCTCCAGCCGCTGAAGATACATCAGCTCCAGAGGCCGCCCCAGCCCCGGAAACCACCCCAGTTGCCGAGGAAACCCCAGCTCCAGCTCCAGAAGCTGCTCCAGCCGCGGAAGAGACCCCAGCCCCAGAAGCAGCCGCTGCTCCAGAAGCCGCCCCAGCTCCAGCCGCCGGACCATACGATGGCGCATCAGCCGAACCAGCCACCGAAACTCCAGCCACCGAAGCCCCAGTAAGTGAAACTCCAGCTGAGACTGCCGCACCTGAAGTCGCCGGAGTACCAGACGCCGTTGCTGCTCCAACTGAGGCCCCAGCCACCGATGCCGCTGCTCTTGAGTCTGCTCCTGCTCCAGCTGCGGAGCCAGCACCAGCCGCTGAAGCTTCTGCGGGATATGATGCACCATCAACAGGACCACAAGATGCCCCAGCTCCAGCCCCAGAAACCTCCTCAGCCGCTGAAGAGACTCCGGCTCCAGAAGCTGCTCCAGCTCCAGAAACCGCCCCAGCCACCGAGGAAACCCCAACTCCAGCTCCGGAATCCGCTCCAGCCGCTGAAGAGACTCCAGCTCCAGTAGCCGCGCCAGCTCCAGAAGCCGCTCCATCTTCCGAGGATACTCCAGCTCCAGCCGCAGCAACCGAAGAGACTCCAGCCCCAGCCCCAGAAGCAGCTCCAGCCGCAGAGGAGACTCCAGCACCAGAAACCGCTCCAGCTGCCGAAGAGACTCCAGCTCCAGCTCCAGAAACCACCCCAGCTGTTGAGGAGACCCCAGTTCCAGAAGCCGCTCCAGAAGCTGTTCCAGCCACCCCAGCACCAGCTTCTTCCGATGCCTATGCTGCTGCAGAGACTGCCTCTCCAGAAGCCGCACCAACCGATGCTGCTCCAGCCGCTGAAGAGACTCCAGCTCCAGAAGCTGGCCCAACTCCAGAAACTGTTGTAGAATCCGTCCCAATTGCCGAAGAAACTCCAGCTCCAGCCGCAGAGGAAACTCCAGCTCCAGAAGCCGCTCCAGCTGCCGAAGAGACTCCAGCACCAGCTCCAGAAGCCGCTCCAGCCGCGGAGGAGACCACAGCTCCAGAAACCGCTCCAGCCGCTGAAGAGACACCAGCACCAGCTCCTGTTCCAGAAGCCGCTCCAGCCCCAACTGCTGAAGAAACCCCAACACCAGCACCAAAAGACGCTTCATCTCAAATCTCATCAAGTGGATACGACGCAGCCCAAAGCACGGATACCGTTGTCGCTTCTTCCGCTCCAGCTGCCACATCTGATGCATCTGGAGCCACGAACTACGAAGGACAACAGTTTGCAATTCAAGCCGCCCGCAAGAAGGTTCGTCGTGCCGCTTTCGTTGGATGGGGTCGTGCGTGATAATGTATTGTTCAAAATCGCCGAATCTCTCGTTTCGTTTTTTTTTCTTCTTCTTCCCATCTCATCACCTCCATCTTTCCACGCCACTCCCGCTCACACTCTTCTTTTTGTTGTACATTCGTTGTTCAAATAAACTTATTTATTTTTTCTCTAATCAGAAACTTTTTTTTTTAAGTTTATGTCTTTTCTTACAAAGGTGTACAAAATTTATGAAAGCCATTGACATTAAGAGCGTTGCCAGATTCATACAGTAATAAGTGATTACAAAAGAGGAAAGAAGAAAAGGAGCAGCACGGCGATTCGGTTTTTAATTCAAAAACCCGTCACGAAAGACTAAGTTATAAATGGAGAAAAAATTGGTGGTTTAATTATCCAGTAGTTTGTCCGATGTCGCATTTATGAATTCATCGTCATCTTTGAATAGTTCTGAAAACCAACGAATTTGAACTTTCAATCTTGAAGTATTACAAGGCAACAGCAAAACCTTGAAAACCAGGCCCACCCAAACCGTCAACTTTGAGCTGGATTATCCCGATTTCTGTGAAAGATGCCAAATGATTGTCAACTGATAAAATATCAGTGAGATTATGATGGATAATTTATCAGTTGACACAACTTTAATACCTCTCCTAAGGATCGGAATAACTGAGCTCAAAGTTGACGGTCTGGGCTTCTATCAGAGGAAATACGGTATATGGGTTTCAGTGGAAAAATAGTTTTCGAAGAGTTTTCTCAACTTCTAAGATGTTTTAGAGCATGAATCTTAATGGGTTATACTTGGATACAAATAAAAATTCACATTTCATACATTTTCTCGAATTTTTCAGCCACTAGTATTCGGAAATCGAAAAAAAACCTTTTTAAAGAAAATGTCTGAAACCTGAAATTTCATTAAATTCTGAGAGTAACTTATCAAATTACATGTTTTAAAACGTCCTAAAAGTTGAAAAATGTACTGAAAACGAGATGTTTCGGTACTGAAACCGATATACCGTAGAACCTAATATAGAAGGGCTCTCATACTATTAAGTTTGAACTCAATTATCTCAATTCCTCCGCAAGATATCAAAACTTTGTCAACTGATGAAATGTTTTTAATTTATCATTTATCAGTTGAAAAAATTTTTAAACCTTTGACGGGAAACGAGAAAAATTAGGAGGCCCTTTTATTACAGATTTTACGGTAACTCGGCTGAAACTGGCTAGTGGATTCTAACATTTTCAGAAGTTCCTAAATAGGTTATTCTCAACCTACTCTGTAAATCTGGGTTCACAGGTGTTGAGGTTTCCTTGTTAGACTCACTTCTATTGAAGAAAGGCAGAGAAGCGAAAACCAGAATGTGACCCGAGAGGTAAGCAAAGAAGAGGATATCCAGCCATGTGTGAGAAATAAAGGTTTTGTTGACTTTTTCCCAACACATCTGAAAAATGAGCAATATGAATCAGGATTAGATGAATAATTGGGATATTATATATCACAAAAACGCCAATCATTCCATCATTCCAGAAACATGCGTCACCCATTATTTATCAAGGAGAGGAGGAAGAAGAAGAAACGAGCAGAAGACATAATCAATCCTGAATTCAAAAAAAACCACAACAAAACATGCTCACAGTCACTTCAGCAACCTCTTGATCGTCGTCTGATTCACAATCGAACGCTTCTTCCAGTTCTGTGATGTAGATTTCTTCCTTCTCGGCTCCATCAAAATGTGCATGGAAGTGTTTGGCTGCCGCACCGCCGTCGGTCCATGCCCAAAACACGGCGATACCCAGAACGATGATGTAGACGGTGACGATCAGGAACATCACCCACGCCAGTTTTTTTCGTACCAGACACTAAAAATGGAAACGATTTGTATTATGAAAATATGAGGGTGGAGGATACAATTTTCAAGATATATCTGAAAATCATATTCAAACTGGGGCCGCGGCCGGCAGTGACTCAGGCCGTGTGTAGGTTGTCGTGTACTGGTTAGTCCGGTCTTTCGAAAATCAGCAGCCCAGAAACAACTAGGACCGCTAGGCCGCCGTTTCCTTCCTATCCTATAATGGGGTTATTCAGGTGAGGCAACAAACCTAAAACATAGCAAAAAACTCGGAGAATGAACCGATCTGGCTGAAACTTCGGGGAAAACTGGAGAAAAATATATGGAACATATATATTGCCAAAATTTGGGGTCAAAATATCCACTTTGAAAATTTGGCTGGAGTTTCAGACATTTGGTTGGATTTCAGACCAGATTGGTTCATTTTCCCAGTTTTTGCAGAGTCTTTTGCTATTTTTTAATGTTCTTGCCAAGGTTTTTGCTTCACCTGAATAATCCCATAAATGCCCTAGACAGAATTCTATAGCACGGTTTTGTTGAAAACAAGCACGAACTCGAATTTCAAGTTAAAAAATCCTTTGTCTTATTAGAATGTAGGAATCAAGAGTTCAAATCACATTACTTGGTTCAACAACATCGGACTTTTGAAATCAAAATAGAAAGAGTCCCAAACTATGCTTCAGTTCTTTTGAGAACCTTAATACTTCCACCTCGATAATTTTCTTGAAATAAAAAATTTAAATCTATACCAGATGGCTTGGATTTCCTCGTTTATCATTGAAATCAAAAAATTGTGGAATCATCACAAAAATACACAAAATGACACCGATTGCAGAGATAACCCATAGGAATAGCATTTGTACTTTGTACTGAAAACAGCAAAATTATCTGAATTGAGATGAAAAAGTTGAGTTATTACCACTTCGAGAATATCTTTCTCCTCGGGAGACCAGTCAAATCCTGGTTTATTCTTTTTAACTGTATCATCGAAAATCCTGAAGAAGGAATCAAATTTTTTCTGGAAATTCCAGGAAACAAACCTATAAGCAATTGGTAGAATAAGTGCAGCTGATTTGTAGTAGGCTTCTGAGATTGCAAGAACGAATGCAGAGTAGACGAATTCACAGAAAAGGAAAATCAAAACTGGATATTTGTAGTACGGTGGGAATAATTTTGCAAAATAGCCCATTCTGAAAATATAGTTCGAATTGGATAGAAAAAGTGGAAGGGTGGGAATTATACAGAAATGTATTTGAATAATGTTCGAAAAGTTTACAAATTCAAAAGTGAGTTGAAAAATTGAGAGAAAGAAATGCAAATCACTTGAGAGAGGGAGAGAGAGAGAGAATGAGAGAGAGAGAGAGAGAGAGAGAGAGAGAGAGAGAGAGAGAGAGAGAGAGAGAGAGAAAGAAAGAGAGAGAAGGAGAGAGAAAATAAGTGAATTGATGATAACAATGGCGGGAAAACGGCGGAAGATTGTATTTGATGTACACAAAAGAGATGAAATAACATGTCTAATTTATCTGGAAAGAAGAGCCTGAAGTGCTTTAAAGAATTTTAAAGGTAATACAGAAAAGTCCCTGAGTCCCTTTTCGAGAAAATTAGAGAGTTTTATCAGAGACATTCTCTCTACTGATAAGATGATCGGAAAGCAGTTCTTTGGATTTTTGATCGACGTTTGATGCAGATCAAGTCATACAATTTGTGATTTCAAGGGGGAAACCTACTTGAATTTATTTGAAATTCGAAATTTGAACAATAAGTAAATGTCTGTAAATTGGAAGTCGATGGCGGGTAAGACCTGGAGACGGTTTGATAAACTGATACCGTGATTTTCAATTTGAGAAACAACATATTGACTGTTGTCACATCGATATACACAGACAGAAGAAAAGGAAAAAGATGATCGGGTAAGGAAGAAGAAGAACATTTTAGAGAGAAATAGATAGGGTCATACCAGACAACAATAACAAAAACAATATGAGTTCATTATCAGTTCAAAGAAGTTAGATAATCTAGCATCTGAAGATTATATAAGGAACCGTTGGACACTTTTCCCGAGACTGACAAGTTTGGAAAGATTGGAATCACAACAAAAACATTGAACTCCAATTTTTTGCTTTGAAGGTGGGACTAATTTTTTTATTTTTTTTTTTGCAATAAAATGCTCTTAAAGTTATGTATCCCAATAATATTACTTCGAAAAAATTCTGAAAAATTCGAAATCCTAGAAAATGCAAGCTCACTCAGTTCATCAATTGAGTAATTGTATTTCTTCGAAAATACAGAAAAAAACGACTGGAAACGGTGGGAAATTACACGAAAAAAAAACAGCGCCCACAGTGGACTTGGACTAGGATTCTTGCGACCTCTTAGACGAGCACTGAGCGCAGCTGCATTTTCAAGAGCGTTTTTCAGGAATTTCGAATTTTTTCTGAATTTTTTTCGAAATAATATTATGAAAATACATCACTTTGGGAACATTTAGATGAAAAAAAAATTCAAAAAAAGTTTGGTCTGAACCCCCTTTCAGTGAATTTCAACTTTATCGAATTTCAGTTGCAAATTACCCAAGACGGTCCGATGTTTGAAACCTAGTAAAAATCTAATGATTGCCTACTGAAAAATAGGAAACAACAGTCAACAGAACCGACGATATCAATTGTGAAATGTTATTGTTATTTTTCACCATCTAGATGGTCATTACTATCTATTGAATAGTACCTCTTCCCGTCTTCTTCTCTAAACACTCTTACCCCTCTAAACAACTTTTTTGTTTGTTATCAATCAGTTCTAGAAGTCAAGACTAGCTCACGCGGAGAAACTGATAAGTCAGTTCGACTCCCTACAGTTCAAAACGCCTCTTCTTTTTTCAAGAATCAGTTTTTTAATCATTTTTTAAGAATTACAAAAAAGGGAAAGAGAAAAATGGAAGAAGGGAAAAATAACAAGAGAAAAAAACGAATGAAACAAACTAATAAATGGGGAAAGAAGCTTGCCAGAAAAAAAACTCATCGAGTTCGGACGTCGCATGTTCCGTTTCCTTTGACCCAATTTATTGTTTCGGTTTCCCTTTTTTCCTTATTTCTAGACAAAATAATCAAGATTGTTGGGATGTTTTTTTGTTAGAGAGAAATAAAGAAGAAAACCGAGATTGTGGCTTCTTTTTTTTTGAGCCATGAGATAGAAAAAAGCTTTGGGATTTTTAGGATTATTCCCATTTTATCATCCCGCGTATCCAAAGAAGAAAAAGGGAGGAGAAAAGGAACTGGTTGGAAACGAGACGCAGTCAATCAGAAACTAAATCTATGTGTGTTGTGCATAATGAAATGTGAGGGTATAACGAAACGACACAAAAAAGTTAGCTCTTTTCCTCGTTTTGATATCTTAGCAATATGAAAAAACGGGGCGAAACGAGACGGAGCCCGTTTCTCTTTGCTCTCCACCCTCACTTTCAGCTCAAAAAGGGTGTTTTGAGGGTGTATGATAACAAAAAAATAAATAGGAAGCAGGTAATCATATGACTTCCGCTGAAATTTCGATAGAAATTATAATAAATGTAGTTGAGGGAGGAATATAATCTACTATGATTAGATCATGATTTGGGTCCAATAGTAAAGAGCAATTTAGAAGTACAAAGTCTAACACGAAATTTCGTAAACGTTTTTTAGAAACAGGTTTAAATCCTGACAAAATTGTTTAAATGACAAAATTGTAAAAACTCCTGACAAAATTGTTTAAACGGGTACTCCGACCAAAAATTTTTTTAATTTTTGCATTAAAATGTCCCCAGAGTTATGTATTTTCCTGATATTATGGCAAAAAATATGAAATCTATGAAAAACGCCGTTGAAAGTGAAAATTTTTCTTAAAAAGGTGGCGAATAGGGACGAGGATTTCAATCCCGGTGCGGGGAGAAACCTAGGCCACGGTTGCGGCTGCAGTTTTTTAGTCGACACTGGTTTTTCACGTGCCAGAAATAAAAATGGAAAAAATCCGGAAAAAATTGCGTTGTAAAAAAGGCGTCCCACCGCCTTGGCCTAGGTTTCTCACTGCGCGGGAATTCAAATTCTTGTCCCTCTTCGTCACCTTATTTAATTTTCAACAGCGTTTTTCGAAGATTCGGGGTTCGTAAATTTCTCGCTATAATATTAGTATTAGGAAATTACATGCTTAACCATTTTAATGTAACAAAACATTTTTCATCAAAATCCCCCTTTAAAATACAAAGTCAATCGTCTAACGAAATTTTCCAAAACTGAGGTTTAAGTTAACTTGAAGTTTCTAATAAAAATTTGAAAAACTTTATAGAAAAATTGTTTAGTAAAATTACAGATTTTTTTTTCAGAAAATGGAAATTTGTGTGTATGTTTTGAAGACACAGAAACACTTGACGAAAAATGAAGAACGGAATTCCTTTTACAAAAAAAGACGAAGACGCTGTTTGAAAAGGAAAAAAATGGCAAAAGACATAAAGACTCAATTTGCAGTAACTACAAAAAATGACCGAAAAGAAAAACGTCTCCAGGAAACAAGGTTCAAAAGTTCAAACTTATGAGTTTTCGTTTCTGAAATTTGTTCCAAGGAGCCGCAGATTATATAATGTGTTGGTAGAAAGGCAAAAAACGTGCAAACAATGATCGTTTACACTAAAGAACATAAAACTGTTTGAAGTTTTCCCACTTGTGTTTGTCCAGCGGATGTCCCCGCCCCAGCTTTTTGCCCCCCAAAACACCCAAGTCCACAGAGTTTTTGGTTGAATCTTGAACCGTAAAAGAGTTGAAGAGACGCAGAATGGCTCAAGCAAACCGATTGGGGAGACGGGAAGGAAATGGATCATGAGATTTACAACTGATCCATCCCTGCGTCTGCTTTTCTTGTATGCTATTTTAGAACCCAAATGATAAGTGTCCTGGACGGAAGCAGGTGGTGAATGATGAGCAAGAGTGCTCTGGGGGAAGGAAGAAGAAACAATGAAAATAGTTGAAGAGATGAATTGATACGTCCTCTTCTCCTCTTTTTCCAATTTGACTGGAGGCGGATGATCCACGTGTGTGCATGTGAGTGCACAGAAACGAACAAGTGAGACAGATTATGATGAAAATTGAAAGAAGAAGAAGCACCTTTCGAATGCTCCCAAAACCAATGACGTCTTCCATTTTTTGTACTTCAAGACAAATTGACAAATTGGCACAATAAGAGTCCTGACATCTCGGAGAATCCATAATGAATTTTTGGAAGCATTCAAAATGAGAAAAAGGTGGAGGTTTTTAAGTTCTGTAATCCGAGTAAGAGGGTCACATTTTTTGAGACTTTTTTGTTTTCTTTGTTTAGAATAAATGAAAAACTACACCGAATATTTTGAAAGGAAGAAAATCACGGCTGACTTCAAAGACACAAAGATTACTTCGACAATCTGGAATGGTTAGGAGAACAGTGGAGAGATAAAAAAGCAAATCCTATCAAACATGGCTGAGCGAAAAACTACCTCCGGAGGCCTACAGAACTTTTTTTCTGTTTCCAGGTCCGAAAATATTTGGAATTTTTGTCCGGAAATATTGACCAGAAAAATCGAAAAAATGGCTTCCAATTTTTGGCTGAAATTTTCTGGAAGGTTTTCGGAACATTTTTTAATTATTCAAGACCGAAAAAAATTTACGAAAAATTTTCCGTTTCCAGAGCTCCGTAAATTTTTTCGTCAATATTTTTTTTCGGTTTAAGATTGGAAAAAAACTTTTTCACAAACTCAAAAAAAGAATTGATGAAAAAATTAAAATTTTAATTTTTCGAATTTCAAAATGTGTTCTATCAGAAAACTCAGTTTTGAAAACCCTAAATGTGTTTTGCAGTCTGAAATCTATTCATTCGCATATCACCACGGTTTCGAAATGACTGGTTTCGAAGTGACGCGGAGCCCGGTTCCCGGCCGATGCAATTCATTACTTTGTTTCCAAAAGCGTTCATATGACAACTTTATTCACCCGTTATCAAATGTTTGTGTTGCTTGACAAAACCGGGACCAGATACAAAGAATTAAAGACAAATTGGCTCAAAAAAATCTAATGTATATTAGACAACTGCAGGAGATTTTCGAGATTTCGATTCAGAAACAGCTCCAGATGAGTTGACTGGTAGGTATGTGGAACATTTCACATCATCTAATCTTTGACGGCATCTGAAAAAAAGAAACTCGAATTATTTTTCGGAAGTGAGTTCATCTCTGAACGCGTCATTCATGCACCTAATCTTCCTGTTTAATCTTGAACGTGCAAAATGAGAAATAGAAGATGCAGTGAATTACCTGATGATGTCATGGAATATTGTTCGGAATTTCTCCGAGAATCCGTAATAAATGAAGAAAGTGCTGGAGGTGTGGAAAATGATTAAGAAGATTGTGAATTCAGCAAACACTTCCCAATAGAAACTCTGAAAAAAGGGATGATTACTTTTCTAAAAATAAAAAGGATGACTCACTGTTTGGGTAAGAAATCCTCCGAATATGCTCTCGGCAACTTTCAAAAACATTGAAAACAAGTGACAGAATGCGAAGAAAATTGTGACAACTAGAAGCATTACTGTCGTTTTTTGATCCTTCCTCTTTTGAACGGCAAGGCCAGTGATGACTTCATCGCTCTCCTGGAGGGCTCGGATGACGTGGTAATTGGCGATTGTCATGATAAGGAATGGAAGGAAATAGTCGAAGATAACTGATAAAATGATGAAATAAAACATAAAGTACCACCAGTGTTTGTCAGTGTCCAGCATCCACATTTCAGATAAATATCCATCTCTGAAAATGAAAAAAAAATTTTTTTAATAATTCTGAAAAAAAGAATCACTTACCCAATTTTGTAATCAAAAAACCTAGGAAAGTTAAATACAATTGAGAAGATTATAATGAAAATTCCAGCTTTCATTGTATTTCGATTGGTACATAGTACCTTGGCCTGAATTAAATAATTTTTAGAAATAATATTAGTTTTAAACTTTTTTACCTGTAATGGCCTACAAACTGCAATCCATCGTTCTATAGTAATTAGAACCATAAGGTACAAACTACAGGACTTTGTCATCATACACAATGGATACACATATCGAGTACTGTAGGCGAAAAAGCTCATATGAAAAGAATATTTTTGCCATTGATCCTGCCTGCAAAGTTGATGTTTGATTTGGTTGGAAAAACATCCCCGAGGGACTCGAGGAAACTAACCAAAGTGGCAGAAAAACAAGAACAAAGATGGGAGTTATCAAAAGAAGAAGAAGTATGTCGATGAGAGAAAGGATGAGCAGAAGAGTGCCAACCTGAAAAGAAATTAGAATTAAAAATGAGAAAAATGAGAAAATGTATTACGGTAGATTTCCTCATTGGTGCCGTCCGATAGACTAGGAATGATGCGAAGTTTCCAAGCAAACCAATGAAAATAACCGGCAGGTACATCCATGATTTGAGTTCATAGAATTCATACCGATTCATGATCGAATGTGTTTAAAAAGTGGAAGATTCTGAAAAGAAAAGGAATAAATTATGGGTGGGTGGAAACGGAAATGGACGAAAAAAAGAAGAAGGAAAAAACGGATAGCGTCTTTTTTTTGAAAGGGGATAGAGGGCAATAATTTATTTTATTCATGGGTCCACTGGAGGTGTGAGTGAAAAAAGGAGGTGAAACTTTTTGTACTAAGAAGAAAAAAATGAGACGAGGAAAAGAGGACGATAAGAAATTGGAGAGGGATTCAATTTGAGACGAAAATAACGACAGATGGAATATTCAGATGTGTAAGAAGAGCAAATGGGTTCTGAAGGGAACTTTAGTGAATTCAGAACTTTGAAAAGGATACGGTCTTTAAAGGTGGGTGGACATGAGAAAATAATTTTCTCAAAATTCCGTTCATTAATGCCCCTCTAGAAGTTGAACTTGTGGGATGAGTATTGAACGCGACGTCGCTACCGACTGATCCACGCGGGCGAAGCTTGATGGCATTCATGCAAGCGGGCACGATAGCGATGTACACTATCACGTCAGAATGCTTACCCTACTCCAAAAAACTCTGAAAAATTTCTTTTCCTCCCTCCTTTAAGTGGTTCTGCTCAAAGTTCTTTGAATACGGTAATTGACACAAGTGTTCTTATACGAAATGGTTAAACTTAGAATATGCAAAACCAGTTAAGAACGTTCTCAAAAATGCAAATTCCATGGGATACTCACACAGCTACAAGGACACCAACATTAGAAATGTCAGCAAAGTTTTCTTTCTTGCTCAAAAATTGAATTATTTTAGCTATAAAGTATGCTTTCGCGGGGTTGTAACAAGTTACGAAATAGTAAAATACGTTCTAGAAACAGGTTGAGTAATTTTAATAACTATTCATCTAGACTTAATCCTTCAGATCTTGCTGAAAGGAGCTACCGTATTTCCTCTAGCAGAAGCCCACCAAAACCGTCAACTTTGAGCTCAATTATCTCGATTCCTGTCAAAGATATGAAGAATTTGTCAATTGATAAATTATTTATCATAACATTACCAATATTTCATCAGTTGACAAATTTGGATTGCTCCTACAGTAATCGAGATAACTGAGCTCAAAGTTGACAGTTTGAGAGGGCTTCTACAGGGAATACGGTCACTTGCCGTCCTAATCTAGACTCAAAATTTCTAACCTTACTGAAAAAATATATTCTGAAAATGATTATCAGAAGGCAACACTGGATTTCTAAAATTTTTGGTGAACTTTTGAGTTACTAAAACACATTGCTTTTCTAACTTTGCTCTCACGATTCTTAGTGTTAGTTCTGACAGGGGAAAATGTTTTGAGAAGAAGAAAAAGTCATGGAGGTTCTTAAAAACTATCTGTTTTCTTTTCTCTTTTTTTTTATCTTAAAGTTAAGTCTCGTTTTTTTCTCATTTTCAGCTCGTTAAAAAAGATAACACATGTGGAAAAACGGGAAGAAAACTGACGGCAAAGGAGGAGTGCATAAATCTCGTTCAGAAATTCGAAACCGAGAATAAAATTTGAACATTGACGTGGTGTTTCCTGAAGTGAATGCCGAGGGAATTGTAGACGAGAAGCTGTCACATAAGGAAATAAGAAGAAGAAAAAAGAAACCGGGGAATCTGAAAGGATTCCTCAATTGGCACGTCCTCTTCATTCTGAAATTCAAAACAGAGTTTTGAAGAAGAAGACGGATATACTGTTATGTAGAAAGATGGCTGGGGGATTTTCAGACAAAAAAAGAAAGTAAATCCAGAATGTTCTTCTGGTCTTCTTCTCAACTCATCCAGCATCATATTGTTATTTTGTTTATTTGAAAGAGTTTTGGAGGGTGGGAGGAAAAATAGACACGTTGGAGTCAAAGTCTCTGAGAAGAGATTAGATTTGTGTGCCCGGAAAAGGGTAAGAAGACGATCAGAAATCGGTAGAAAAACAAAGAGAATAAATGGTCCGCAGGAGACATAAACCACAGGTTTCAAATGAAACGGAAAACGAACATCAAATATGAGTTTGAAATTTTTGGTTCTTCGAGTCAAGGTAATCGGATATGATGGGAGGGAGGGAGAGTCTACAGAGTTTACTTTGTTGACGATTATTCATAAGGATTACCTGGTTCTTAGAAGAAATAAAACATAAGGGTGTTGAAAATTGTTATGCAGAAGATTAATTTGAGTTATTAGGGTTTATTAAAAGTCTGCACTGAGGAACATTCTGAAGCAGAGGTGAATCTAAATAAGTCTTCATAGTCGTTTATGTTTTCAAAGAGGGATTCCAATTTTTCTGTAATCATGACATTAAAATGTTCCTAAAGTTATGTATTTTCATAATTTGACTTTGAAAAAAATCAGAAAAAGTTTGGAATAACTGAAAGCGCGCTTTACCAAGTCCAAGTTAGTCCAAGTTGTGTTCATGTAATTTTTCAGCCATTTGTGAGGTCAACGAGCCTTTTAAAATTATTAAGTTTTTTTTTAAATTTGTAAGTTTTTTTTGTTCTGAAAATTCCAAAAAAAACGGTCGAAAATTCTGAAAAAAAATGCAAGAAAAACAGCATACACAGTGACCTAGGACTAGGATTCCTGCGACCATCTTGGACGAGAACTGAGCGCGCTTGCATTTACGACGACGTTTTAGGGATTTCGCCGGTCGGGTCCCCAAGTTCTAGCCTAAAGTTCTAGCTTAACAAGTTCTAGCCAAAATAGTATCATTGGAAAAGTGATGTGATTCAAGTCCTAGTCAAGTTTAAAAAAATGAAATATCCAATTACATTATCCGTTTAGATCTTGTTAACTCCGTTTGGATATTTCCCAGTCACGACAGGTGCGAATAATTCAGAGAAAGAAGGTGTGTATTTTTGTGGGACGCGTGAAGTCAAAACAGGATCAGAATACCAAATAATGGGAAAAAAGTTATCGTTGCTGCCTCTACCTAATTTCCAGACTATCCGAACCATCGGAAAAATTAAGAATAATAAATTTTAATTCTAAGAAAACAGAAAAAGAATGTGCGTCTAATTTCACTTGGGTAAGAAGGAATATTTCTACGAAGAGAGATGGAGTGTTGAATGTGATCTATGCGTCCATTAAAAAAGATAACTGGCTAACCAAATATAAATCCACTACGTCTTATCTGGGCTGGAACGGGACATAAGGTTTTTAACTGACTCAACCCTTTAGAAAACAAAGAAGCGCCATCTGGAACAAATCAGAATTGATGAGCAAGGAATAAATGAAGATAATGGGGAGACAGGAATGAATAGTTTTTGTTTGTTGGGTTTTCATACCAATGATTCAACAGACTGATAGAGAAAAGTCAAGAGGGCAATTCATGATGTAGGTATCTATCTTATAAGGTAGGAATTTATATGGAAGCGATGATTCAGGGATGATATGTCACGAGTTCAATTCAATTTAATATTGTATTGGCCTATTGGATCCCATGTTCACTTAATCCTAAAATTCAAAAGCGGCATACTAAAAACACGTTGTTTACAACAAGACCAAAACATGGCTTCTGTCGACTTCCCCGTTGAAAATCTAACTACGAAAGTGAATCACAATTGAATGTCGTTGCACCTGTGAATGATAACTAATTTTCTCCAGACTGAAACATTCGCATCACAAGTCTAGATAACGATTGAATCTAATTTGCTAAACGACTCCAGAAAAAATAACTTAGTCACTCATTATAGACTTTATACCAAGAAACTAAGTAAAAAGTTGTCATGTTTACCGTAAAACCTCTATCAGAAGCGCTCCTGCAATAGAAGTGCCCCTCTAATAGAAGTGCCCTCCAAGCGAGGCTTGTTAAAATAGAAGAGGCTCATTCGAAATCCCTTATTTGAAATCAGAATTTTGCCGTACGCTGTCAGTGAAAAATACTCGGGAAGTTCCACTATTTCGCAGAAAAATTGTTGAAAATTTCTTGCTCTTTTTATGAATTTTGAACAAGAATTCACTAAATTTTTTGATGAAAAGTTTTGGAAAAAAATGGCCGGAAACATAGAAAGGTCCCCTCTAATTGAAGGGCTCCTGTAATAGAAGGGCTGGCCCTTCTAATACGGGTTTCACGGTATATTGAAGTATAGCGCTGTAGAAAAAAGCGGTCGATACAATAGAGAAACTGAAATGATCGGAGTTCAAGAGCCTATTTCGAGGCTACAAAACAAATGAGTCTGCGAAAATCAAAAGAGTATTCTAAGTAAAAAAAATAAAAATGGAGGATTAAGAGGATCAGGTTCAAAAAAGTGACATGAGTTCCAAACGCCTCCATTCCTAGCATTTTGCTCTGGTCTAGCTATACAAAAGGTTCAAAGCTGAAAAAAAAGGCAGAACAGAACTCTTTAACCAGAAGCTGTGTCCGTTTGTACGTCAGGAACAGGCTTCGACCAAAAAAAAAAGGAAGAGAACCGGATAGAACTTATCCGGATGTCTAGAGAAGTGATGGAAAAAGTGCAGGGGAAAGAAGACAGACTGATTGGCACCCAACTCAAGACGACGGCGTTAACTATTCATTATGATGTGAATCGGAAAAAGGAGAAATGGAGAAATTATTATTGAGAGACACTGTTATTAAGATGAACAAAATGAACAGAAGGACATAAAAACAGGAACTGGGAGAATTTTCAGACAATACATCATTAATTGGGGTTTGAGTTTCCAGACAGTTTACGGAAACGCTGAATAAAATAAGTTGTGACAAATTAGAAAGGATAGGACATCATTAGGGCAAAAAGGGACAAAGTGTCGAAATTTGAGAAAATGCAAATGTGGGTGGACGGAGAGAAAGAGGGAAATGAGCTATTTCAAAGACATTTAGCTCATTAGTTGATTGTGTAGAGTAAGAAGAGAACAAGTCAAAGATCCAAGAATATGATGACGGAAGGAAGAGATTCTATTCCGGAAACGATGATGATGATGGGAATAGAAATGAGATCTTAGAAATCATAAATTGAAGCTAATTGGTTTCAGGAATAGATCGCACTTTAA